AAATAATAATCAAATTTATTTATAATAATTTATTTAAGTTTTCTTATTATTAAAAATTCTTAATTTTAAAAATATAATTATAAAAAATTTTAATAAGCTAAATGTTCAAGTAGTCTTAAATAAAGTTGTTTATCATGCTCTCAAGTATATATATTTAAATTTTTATATTATTTAAATAAATATTTATGGAAAAAATTAAAAATTATAGTTTTTTTATAATATACTATATAATAGAATAATAAAAATAAGATAAAAAGTTAATTTAAAATCATTTTTTATTTAATATAAAAAATTATAAAAATCTGAATGACTTTATTAAAAGTAATTATTAATTTTTATTTTGAGATACAAATTTTTTTGTACCAGATCATAATATTAAAAACTTAAATTTTAAAAGAAAGTGTCATATTTTACTATATTTATTAATAAAATTAATTTTAATTCTTTACTTTTAATTATTATATAAATAATTTCAATTTAATATCTAATAACTTAATTAAATAAAATAGAATTAAAACTTTAATTTAAAAAATAATTTATTAATATTCAAAAATATAAATTATTTTGTATCAGATTTGATTTCAATTTTAATATCTTGTATTGAAAGAATAAAGAATAAGGAATTTAAGATTTTATATACAAATAGAATTAGTAATAATTTTAAATTGCTTTTAATATTTTCTTATTAGTAAGCTAATAGAATTAGTAATAATTTTAAATTACTTGTTATTAGTAAGCTTATCATTTATTATAATGATGTTAATAATTGATTTATTGTATATTTTTAAAATTATGACTTTATTTAATTAGTCAAATAATAAATATATATTATCTATCTAATAAATCTTGAATTAGGTTATAAAAATTTTTCAAATTATCTCGGGTATATGTGATATTTTATTTATTATTATATTTGATTTAAATAAAAGATTAATATTTTGAATAAAAAGATTACTATAATCATTGCAGTTAAACCTCGATAAACCGGTTACGGATAAACCAGCCATCGACCAATTTTTGTGGTCTATATAAACTCTCTAAATTGGTAAACCGGTTAAATCTATATATATGTATAAATTTTATTCGTTAAACCGATTCTTTTATAGCCGGTTCATAAATGGATAATCCGACCAAGGGTTAAAAAATTTTCTAACGCTAAATTCAATGAACCATATGGTTGCATAATTTAAATAAAAAACTAAAAACCCGATAACTTTGGGACGCGATATCGCAACGTCCAACTATCCAATTTGGACAAAAATAGGATCTTTCAATTATATAAAACTATATAAACTAGCTGTATTTTAATTTATATAGTATGCGGATTTATTAAACCGACCCACTCCATAAATTGGCTACAAAAGGTCAGCCCGACGCAGCGGTTTAACTGTATAATTATATGTAATTCTATCACTATATTCAGAATCTTGTTAACAATATCATTTGTATTTCTGATTATTTAAAAAAAGCTTGTTCTAAACTTTAAGCTTAGCAAATGCTAAGTACCTAGCCATTTAGGCATCTGTTTCTTCACATCACATTTTTTGTCGGATTTGTTTGGAAGACTGATCAAAATTTGTGTATTCTGATCGGTTGCTAAATTGAACAACAACCCGCTAGAAAGTCGAGTTTCGTTTCTTTCGCATAAGACTTATAACTTTAATTTTGTAGTTAAATCCTTGGTATAAGAAAAATTAATGACATTACTTTCGTTGAGAGAAAATAAAAGTCGTTTAATTGAAACTAGGATCAGAACGTCATTCCATATTGCACTATTTAATGTATCGTATAATAAAAGATATCAAAACAGGCATTCAAGTTAGAACTAATTTTTTGATTAACTTTTAGAAAATTTAAGTTTATTGTAATTCAAATACATGTAATAAATACACTATTACAGGTTTCTATAACATTAAAAGCAGCTGAACATTATTCAATTGTTATAGTTTTATTACATTAAAATCTAATAATATAGTAAATTAGCTGAACACGAATATTTATGTTATTACGCAATATCATTAAATTATTATTGAGAAGTGGCAGTGACAATTGGACCGCAATACAGATTTCCGTAATCACAGTAGATTGGTGGAGTGTAAACAGTGTTAACCACGATCGCTGGTGCCGCCAAAGTGGAGACGGCAGAAACGAGTAAGGCGAGAGCGAAGAAGAGAAATTTTGCATTCATTTTATAAGCGTGAACAGATTTTGAATGCGTAAAAATACGAGCGAGATTTTTGAAGCTTTTTTTCGATATGTATCTTTTCAAAATCATTTGCTTGTTGGAGAAATCAAAATTCATCTCAGACAAAAGTTGCTTTATAGTCATAATGGGGATTACATATGCAAGGAATCAAAAAAAGGGATTATTTTCATGGTTAGTGTTTATTATAAAATTTATTGGATATTAGTAAATTATTATATTCTAGGTCGCATAATTGTATGTAAATGTACTTGTCCTTGTCATACAAAACGAACTCTTTATCGTTCTTCTAACTCTTTGCTAATTACTTCGTTCTATATAAAAAAGTTATTACATGTATATATCATATAAATATTTATTTTTTATTTTAGGGTATATGTAACAAGTTTATTTTCTAGTTTTTCAAGCACAAAACTTTACTCTTTTCTAAAGCAAATAAATTATTATATTACTATAACTTTATGTATATGTCATTATTTATTAATACAGTTGATAGTTAAACATTACAAATAATCTCAATGAATTTATTAAGCTTCGATTGATTGATTCAACAAATACATGTACTGTACATGTAATTGCTGCATAAAATCACGTATCGGTATGGGTGATCTAGGAACCATGGTTTTTTGCATATTAAAAAAACCACGATTGACATCCCTTGTAAACATGTATTAATTGCATCAATATTTGGTATAAGTTATAAATCTATAGTATTATTTTTGTTTTATTTTGATTTATACCTAGTCTTTCACTCACTGCACCTATAATACAGACCGGGTTATTAAATGGGAATTTATATTGGGTATTTGTATGTCATCATCAAACTTCACGACAGAAATATACAGTGTGTCAAAAAAAAATCGGAATTTTTAATTTTCTCCATAAACCTTTATTTAAATAACATAAAAATTTAAATATATGTACTTGAGAGTATGATAAACAACTTTATTTAAGACTACTTGAACACTTATCTTATTAAAATTTTTTATAATTTATATTTTTAAAATTAAAAATTTTTAATAAGAAAACTTAAATCATTATAAATAAATTTGATTATTATTTTGCAAATTAATCTTAAGTAAACTTGCTTACTAGATTATCAATTATAGATATTTAAAATTTTATATAATTTAAATAAATATTCATTGAATAACAAATAAAAAAAGATTGAAAAAGTATTTTAAATTTTTTATAATCAATTTTTTCAAAAAAAAATTCAATAAAAAAAATATTAATTATGAAATATTTTATTAAGATAAGCTATTAAATACTCAAGTAAACTTTTTCACTAGGTTATCAAGCATATATATTTAAAATTTTATATGAATTAAATAAATATTCATTGAATATAACTAAAATTAAAATTTCCAGTTTTTTTTTGACACACTGTATGTCAATAAAATATTACTTTTTATCCAATATCTTGATGTCCAGTGATCCAATTCAAGTGAAATAATACCGTATTTTACGTGTAAAATACCCAGGGTACCGTGTAAGGAAGAGGATGGATACAATATTAGGAAGGTGCGATACCATATTATAATTGCATGCCTCAATATTTGATTTTGCTCACACCTAATAATGTATATGTATAATATTATAGAAACGATAACAAATGCCACTTAATGTTGGCAAAATACGCTATAAAATAATTCAATATTGTTTAATTTGTATTAGAACAAAATATTATTGTAAATTCAAACACATATTATATCGAAATAAAACAATCAATCAATACTAAACCTTTAATTTTTTCTCGTGATTCAGTAAAACTCATAAAATTATTTATGTTGCAACTTTGCTCATTCTTACTTATCGAATGTTTATCTTCAGAGCACAAAATAGGCAATTATCTGGTTGATTGACGACATACGGCACAGCTGTGGTATGCAAATAAAGAGGTGTGTTAGTCCAATTGTATAAAAGCTTTTAAATTCGAAATATTTGTGCATGTACATGTTAAGTAAATGTACGAATAAAAATTTCTTAACGAACAATGTACAATATTGTTTTAATATAATAACATTGTCACCTTAAAACATTAATTTTTGTACGTAATAAATTATTGGCTGAATCCAATTACGTTTTTCCATCCATAATTCCAAATTTTATTAGCGAATACGAAATAAATTTTGAGGCATTTTCGAAATATTATCACGGTAACCGAATTAAAAACACGAGTATACGAGAATTAAAATTATCGAAAAATTGTTCGAAGAAAAAGGATATAGAACAAAATTGAACAGAACGAACAGAGAGACAACGAGATATAGAAATGAAAAAGATGATATCGAACAAAAGTTAAATCGTAAATACGTAATGCAAATAACGATGACGATAAATAGGATAGCATAAATTAAAAAGTATCAAGTCATTATAAATTAGAAAGAAATATTTTTAGGAAACTAATTACAGATTATATTTACATAGCACCTCGTTGTGCTTTAACAATCTACTATGTACAAAATATGTGTATTTACATTAAACTTGGGGAATGAATTAATCTAATTGTTCGTCGTTTGGAGTTTTAGGCGATTTTCTCGACATTTTGCAAAATTTCTTCCTTTTGACCGATTTGGCATAATTTTAGCATATAATTTGCATATTTTAGGTCTTTATTCAAAGAAAAATATTATGCAAAAATTATGAAGTATATTAATATCAGTACTATTAATAAGTAAAAGAATGAATGTAGGTCAAGAAAGTGTAATTAGTCGAGTTTTCATTCAACATGAGAATTTGTTGTTGTGGTTATAGTTGTCATAATTTGATATTAGAATTTTTGACACGAAGTGTGTTCTTGAAGACAACTCTTCTCTTTTATATCTTTTTTCCTTGCTCGCATAAGACACAATGATGATGTGATGTTTACTATTGTTCATAAATTACAATAATAACGTCATTAATAATACTTTATTCGAATTATCATTTACATAAATATTACAGTATATACATATAATGATAATTGTTGTTATATGGACAATAACAATTCATAAAAATTGTCTTTGTTCTATATATAATTACGGTTTAGATGATTGCTAATTATCATTTAGTCTTCTTAATTTTAGAGACAAATGCATTAAAATTTTTCTTATAGTAATAGAGAAGGGGGTAAAGGGAGGATTGATGTGTGTATTATTGCATTTGCATGTCATTTTACGAGAATTAATGTTATTGTCTTATAATGTAAAAAAAATATGTTAATACATATATTTGCAATATAGAAGATTAAAAGAAAACATCGAAAACTTTTCAAGTTTCTTGTATGATTCAAACATTTTTGTAAGAGGAAAACTTCAAATTATTTTTACGTAGATTTTTTCTAATTTCTAGTAATTAATTTTTTATTTTTTTGTTGTATCTTTAGTTGACTCTAGTTCTAAATAAAGTAAAATTAAAAACTTAATTTCCGATTTAAGTATACTATTCATGTATGAAGGCAAGCAAGTCATTAAGCACCATTATATATTTCGATTTACATGTGCGAAAATCGACGTTCATTGCATGATACATGTACAATTGACAAAAAGAAAGTTTGCACATAATATAGAGAAAAAAGTGTTTGTTGTTCCTTCAAGTAATTGATCGACAATAAGAGAAACACACGTTTTTGTGTTAAATTGCTGTATTTGTAAACTCAATGGTCACCTGCGGTAAACCGAATAAAGTTCATTGAATGTTTTCTGTTAAAGCGTTTATATATCTATCTTATTCAAATGTATAAGATACCCATGAAATATAATTCGTTGGGACCCATATGACTAGCATGCATTAAGATTGCATTTAGAAGAAATGATAATTAGATCCTATAAGCATGGGATTAATCAAGAGCGTGCATTAGAAAGAATTTGCATTTATGGAGGTTGCATTTAGGGAGAGTTGACCGTACCTTCATGCAATTCACAATTTGCAATATTGTAAAGTGCATTAGGCTCGGGTACATTATCATGTATTCCGCCGCAAGTATATACCATCTTTGTATTGTATCTGTACCTTTCTGTCAAAAAATACAATACAGCCCTTCCTAAATGCAATCATCGGGACCATATGACTAGCGTGCATTTAAAGAGAGTTTTCTTATGGAAGTTGATTTAGGGAGAGTTGGCTATATCTAGATGATAAGGATTTATCTCCGAGGACTATAAGGCGTAGCCAGTGATATTCTTAAATCCAATCTCACAGTATAAGTTTAAATGTCCGATTACAAAACTCAATCAGTATATCCGAGAATTTTATGCTGAAAAATTTAGCTTTATTTGGGTGATAATTTTTTAACCTTTCGATATGTTTTCTATCACTATAAATATCAATATCAAACCTTTGCGAGACATTTGCCGACATTAAAAATTAATTAATGAATTGTGATTAGTTAATAATTATTTAATTATATTATTATAAGGAGTATGAGAAAAAAATAATGTTAAAATAAAACTTTCTGCAAGTTTTAACCATATATATTAATAGCAATCTATATATTAATTAAAGTCTTTTTTATAATGAAAAAAAATTTTTCAATAAACTTAAGTTAAATTGAATTTTATAATATATAATGACTAACAGAATTATGGAATCAGGATTTGAAAATTGAAATTTGTTCTAGCTTAAATTTTTATATGTGAAAAACTTTGCTGGATGTTTAAACTTTTATTCTGACAGTTTTTATTACAAGATATATGTGTAATATATTTAATTTTAAAATAATTCAATAATATTTAGTGATTTTCTAATAAATATAATGAAATATTTCCAGAAAAATTCCAGTAAAATTCCAGTAAATTTTCAGTATATTTGACAGAATATTTCCGGAAAAACTCCAGAAATATTTCATGATTTTGATAATAGTGCTGGAGAATTTTAGAGCTATTATTAAAAACTATATGGAAAATTTCCCAATAAAAAAACTGGAATTTTTAAGTAAAAATCAAACTTCAATTTTTACTGGAATTAAAATTAAAATTAATATTTAAAAAGTCTAATTATAAATAAATAAATATATAATAAATAAAATATATTAAAAATTATTTAATAATATATAGTGATCATCAAAAATAATACAATACTTAAATTTTTACTAATTATAATTAGTAAAAATTTAAGTGTTGTATTACTTTTGATGACCACTGTAT